ACAATAATTATTTTATCTGAGCTGAGCACTAAATCAGATAAAAAGTCTGAGAAATCAGACAGAAACTCTGTGTAAGGCCCAGGTGGATGATAGATGTGAACAAATAAGGGTGCTTTTTGGGGGGTTTTCCAGCCCGGGTGAACATGTTTAAGCATCAGGCTTTGAAATGAATTAAAACTCTGTCTTGGTCTGTGGTTGGTTAATAAGCTGGTGTGATAAATTGCTGCCACACCGCCCCCTCAAGGATTCTTGGAGGTGTTGATTCATTTAAACTAACATAATCATCCTGCTGTAACTCAGACTTATTCTTCCTGCCCTTTAATAGAGACCTGGAATTGTCTTCAGCAGGACTACATCAATCAGGCAAAAAACTTATCTGCTATTTGTTGGTCTCATTTTTGCTGGTAAAACAGCCCTGAACAGTTGAGACATGGACTCCATTAGATCTCTGAAAGTGTCCTGCTGTATCATTCAATTCCTGTAAGTTGGGGCATCCATGGATCAGACTTGTTTGTGCAGCGCATCTCACACATGTTTCAATGGGATTGAAATCTGTGGGATTTGGAGACAAAGTCAACACTGCAAACTCATTGTTGTGCTCCTCAAACCATTTCTGAACCACTTTTGCTTTGCAGGAGAACACATTATCCTGCTGAAAGAGGCCACAGCGAATAAATATAATTTCTATGAAAAGCCTGCAACAACGCTTTGGTAGGAGGTAAGTGCCAAAGTAGAATCCACATGGATGGCAGGACCCAAGGTTTCCCAAACAGATCACACTTCCTCCTACAGTGCATCCTGGTACCTGGTGTTCTTCAGTTAAGCAATGCACACACATGTTATTTAAAAGAACATGTGATTAATCAGACAACATTCGCATGCCCATTGTTGGCGCTTTTAGTGGTGGGCACCCTGACTGGTCTGTGACTATGCAGCCACACACACAACAAACTGTGAGATAAGATAAGGAGAAATAATCAGTGTTATTCACTCGCCGCTCTCCAACGGGAGATTGAGAGACCAGCGTTGGACTGTAGAACTGCTTTGAAATTAATATGAGCTGTTCGCACTAAAGTAAAAACCACCATCACTTATGCGGATACCCCTTTGGCGCCAGCTGTGGTTTCAAGGCTGGAGCTGAACAACAACACCCTGATAACGACTGTTTTTAGTCTGTTTCTTCCCATTCCATG